GGTTCGGCCGGGTGCCGCGGGCTGCCGTTGCCAGGGCGGGGGTCGCTTTGCGGCATGGCGATGGCGGAGGGTGAGCGGACTGAGTGTGCGGAGCCCCCCCGGGACGAGCCCCCGGCTGACGGCTCGCTGAAGCGGGCGGAGGAGCTCAAGACGCAGGCCAACGACTACTTCAAAGGTGCGCCGGCCTCCCGCCGGGGGGTGGGGCGCGTGAGGGGGGAGCGTGGCCCGGGGGTGCCGGGCCCGCGCGGAACCATGGCAACGCGGAGCGGCAGCCCGGGCGCGGGGCAGCCGCGACCAAATGGTCCGGCGTGGGGAGGCCCAAGATGGGCGCTACCAAGGAGGCGTCACAGGGGACCAGGGCGACGGGGAGAGCACCTGGAAGTGGCCTGCGGGGCGGGTCCTACTATGTGAGGAGACGGAGCAGGGTGCGACCTGGGTGCGGCGGGGTGCTGAGACCCTAAGAGAGGTGCTCCTTGGCGGGGAGACCTGCAGAGGACGCTACCAGGTGGTGACATGTGGCCGGGGACTGAGGACACCGCGCCGCCAAGTGGGCTTGGGGGTGGGGGTGGGGGAGAGCGTCCCAATCGATTCGGGAAGTGTAGGGAAGTTGGGGGTGGTGGTGGGGGGAAGATCATTAGATTGGGAGCGAGAAGGGTTAGATTTGGGGTGACCCGAGGGGAAGGGAGGTGAGATGGGGTATGACTTAGCATCCCGGAGGAAGAGGTGCGGGCCACCCATTCATTGACTCAACCCGTTGGTGATGGCGTGCCTGGCCTGGGCCAAGGACGGTGGCCCATTCCCGGGGGTAGAGCACCCGTGGGACAGAAGCGCCCTCCTTGCCCGTGTACAAGTCGCACTCCGGTAAGAGACCCAAACAGGGAGCTGGACCCACATTAAGGAGATAGGTGCACGGTCGCGGAGCGCAAAAGCGGGTAAAGAAAATCAGTAGGGGACTGAAGCAGGAAATAAGGTTAGGGGCCTGTTTTAAGCGGTGACACTAAAGCCGAAACTCAGGAGAATTGGGGGTGGGGAGGGGGGTAGCCTGGTGGCTCTGTCTGGTAAGTGTTGGGCTGCTAGCTGCAAGGTGGGCAGTTCGGTCCCAACAGCCCCTCTGTGGGAGACAAATGAGTGATCCCATCTAGGATGGCTGTTGAGAAGGGGGGAGGGGATTCCAGGTGGGTGGAACAGTATGTGCAGGGCCCCTGAGGCAGCAAAGAAAAGAATGCCGGTTGGTCGGAGCTTTAGCAAGTTAGGCCCAAAACCAACCCAGACCCCTGACTCATAGCAACCCAAACCCAGGGGGCTCGGAATCCTGAAGGCAGTGGACAGCCTTGTCTCGCTCCTGCAGCCAAGGCGGCTGGCAGTTTTGAACCATTGGCCTCATGGTTAGCAGTTAATTGCCTAGCTGCCATGGCCACAAGGGTTTCTCGACAAGTTGCAGGTCGGGAAGGGGTGCTGATAACAGGATGAGGTGCAGACGAGGCCCCAACCTGTAGAAATCACTGCAAAGACCAGGTTGGATATTCCTCAGAGACCCAAAAGGGGAACTTCTGTGTAGGGAGACTGGCTGGGAAGGCGCTGGGGTGCCATCCATCAGTCTGTGGTTGGAATCCTCCATATGCTGGGCCTGAATGAGCCGTCATCCCCCTGAACCCCGAGGACAAGTGTCAAAAAAGAACAGGGGGCCTGGGAAGGAAGGAAAGCCAGGAATGAGGTGGCCGGAATGCTGCAGGAAGCACACGGATGCTTCCAGGAGGAGGGGCACGTGCCCCTAGTCAGAGGCTGCCAAAGCCAGGACTGAGCGCTGGCCGTTGGATTTGGCCCCGGGGACACTGGAAGTGACCTTGACGAGAGCTGTTTCTGGGTCCTGGCAGGGGTGGCAGCCAGTCGGAGGGCACTAAAGAGAGGAAGACATGGACACAGCACGTGTTGACCAGGGTTTCTAGTACTATGCGTTCTAAAGTAGAACTGAAAGTGGGGGCTCAGGAGCGGGAGAGACTAACCAAAACCAGTAGCCATTCGCCATGGAGTCAGTTCTGGCACAGGGCAACTCCCAAGTGGGCACTGCCACAGGCTTGTCAGCTAGAGGCGACCAGACCTTTCTTCCGTGGCACCTCTGGGTGATGCAGCCCTTCAGCCTTTGGGTTGCAGGTGGTGGGTTAACCAGATGTGCCCCCAGGAGAGAC